TAGAAAAAAAACTAATACAATAAATCTGGAGAAAAAAAAAAGCCCCAATAACCCAAAAAAACAAAAATTTTGAAAAGAAAAAAAAAAGGCTGGTGTCGCTATGGCCCATAGCAACATCAGCCTTTTTTTTTCTACCTAAAGCCGCTATGGCCCATAGAGACATCAGCTTTTTCCTTTTTTTTTTTTTAGTTTTTCATTTTTTTCTACCTCTGTTTTTTTTCTTCAAAATTTTTGTTTTTTTGTTATTGAGTCATTTTTTTCTCCAGATTTATTCTACCAGTTTTTTTTTTTAATTTGTTTTGTAATTCATTTTTTTTTTGTATTTTTCTACATTTTTTCCCTTCACTTATTTTTTGCCCAGTTTTTTTTTAAAATTTACATATAAAAAAATTATTAATACACTTAAATAATAAATTTTCTTTAAACTACACAATTAATTGTTTTTAATTAAATTTATTAAAAAATTACTGAAAATATATTTTTAATTATATTAAACAAAATACTTAAAATATAAATTTAATTAAATTTGTTTATTTCTGTACTTATTTAATTAAAAATATAAAAATTAAGTTTTTAAAATGAAATGTTAATATTTAAAAAATAAATTATATACAAAAATGGTGTCGCTGCCCATAACAACACCTATTTTTCCTTTTTTCGTTTTTATATTTTATTTACTTATTTTTCCACAATTTTTATAAAATTTAACATATTATAATATAATTTTATTTAAATTATTTAGTTTCTGTAATTTTAATTAAAAATTAAAAAACGCACAATTAAAAATAAAACGTGATTATTGCAACAAAAAAAAATACAAAATGTGTGGCGCTATGGGCCATAGCGACATAGTGTCGCTATGGCCCATAGCGCCTCCTTTAAAAAATACATATAATTTAATTTATAATTATATTTTTAGAATATTTAATTTTATTTTTATAAATATATAATAAATAATTTAGTTTATTGTTTTTATTTTACATTTCTATTATTTTCATTTTTTTATTTTTTATTTTACGGAGTGTCGCTATGGGCTACATCATTTTTGTTAGTCCATTATCTGTGGTGGCTAAGTCTATAGCGACACTCATGTGGCTCGTTCCAGCCCAACTAAAACAAAAAAAAAATGCCACGTGTCAACGGTGTCGCTATGGGCCATAGCGACATCGTTGTAAATAGTCCCAAAGGCGTAAATACTTACAAAACAGCCTCATTTACATAATAAACTTTTAAAATAACCTCACTTTGGTCAAAAAGCCGCTTAAAAGTCTCACTTTGAGACTAAAGATAATTTATAAGTATTCTTCCTCTTTAATCCGCTAAAATATATTTTCAAAGACAAAACATTAATAGTTTAACGAATGTTAAAATTATAGACAATACTTCGAATATAGTGATCTTAACAATATCTACAAACTTACGATTAAAATAACATTAAAAAATAAAGAAAATATTTATTATGCACCAAATATATTTCATAAGCTGAAATTATTCGTTTGGCGACATAAAAATTGGTAAAACATATTTTCTCTAGAACATACTTTTAAACTTGATGAAAAGGGAGAATATAGTAAATAAATATTTTCTCTCTCCAATTATCAATTATCAATTTTATTGATATTAATGCATAAATTTTAATATAAAATAATATCTTCATTTTTTTTCCTATCAATTTATTAATAAGTAAGAGAGGTAAAACTGAAATATCATGATTTGTTTTTATAAAACTAATAAAATCAAATAAAATAATTACTTATAAAAGTTTATATGAGTATGTTATATTAAGACATATTAGGGTTTATAGAAAGTATTAAGTAATTATATTAAATTATTACTTAGTAAATAATTTTCAATATATAAAAAATATTTCTCTCAATATTATTAAATATTAATTATTATAAAAAAAATTCTAATGATAAGAGATTAAAATAGATGTAGTTAAAAACCTAAGTTCAAACCTTATTAAGGTTGATGTAGTTCTTACAGATAAAAAAAAAGTGTAAAATAATAATCATTACTTAAAAAATTACTGATTGATATTTTAATAATTTTATAATATTTTGTTTATTTATATATTTTATTAATGTTAAAAGTAATAACAATAAACTATATCTATGCAATTTAGATCTAAATCTTGATTATTGTAACGAAATATACGACTCTACCTGAACATTTAACTTATGTGAAGAGAATAATTTATTTTAACTTCTTATTTTTTCTTATAAATACTTAATAATAACTTTATTCAAATATAAGTTTTTTTAATTAAATAAAAGGATAATTATCTTGCTCGAGCTTGAGAATGAAGATTTGTACCATCATAGCTAGTCATAATGTGGTCACAACTCATAAAATATCTAACTTAAAATCAACTTCAAAGATGAAAAAAAATAAAAAGCTTTTCACATATTGTACGATTAAAACCAAAGATATCAAATTTAAAAAAAAATGAAAAATAAAAATATTTTTTACATGATTAAAATAAAAAACTTCGTTCATTTTATATAAATTAAAACATATTTAAACTAATAATGTTTTACAAAAGTTGAATGAATTCAGTTTCTTCAAAAAGTTAATTTTAACTCAAAAAAAATTATTTGATTTTTTTCTTCTTAAATGAATTTAGTATCTGGGCTTAAAGAATTTTTGTCCAATCTCACTTGGGCCCTATCGTTTGCGATTTTAAAGAGTGGGTTCTCTATCTTCACGAGAAGTTTGGACTTGGGTCTTCATACCAGGCTTTCGTCGTGAACGTGTGATTGTATGAAGCACTTGAAAAGAAAGTGATGACCCAACACCTGACGGGTTATCAGTTGGGCTGGGTCTTTTGTCTACTGGGCCTCATTCTTTTCAGCTTTCATTTCTTGGAACCTAATAAAAATGAGGGTGATGATATATACACCTCCTATTTTTTATAAATACACCTCCAATCTCTTTTTTTTTTTTTATAAATAAAATTTCTAAAATATCCTTCTAACTAAATATGATTAAGTTGATGGAAACGTTAATTTTATCATTTTGAAAAGTATTTTCCAGAATAGTAAAATTATTGTTCCGGAAAGCATTTTCCGGAAGTATGTTTTTTATATAATTCCAAAAAGTTTTTTTTCTGGAATATTAAATTTAATATTCTGGAAAATATTTTCCGGAATTATGTAACAAGCACATTTCCGGAAAATACTTTCCAGAATAAAAAATTTACTATTCCTAAATATACTTTCCGAAACAAAAACTTTATTATTCTAGAAAACACTTTCCGGAACAAATAGTGAGAAAAATTACTTGGAAGAAAAAATGCATATGGTTTGACACATTTTCCTTCGATATTGAACCCACTTACAACTTATAACAAAACTAAAAAGAAAAGAGGATAATGCAAAAATTGAAAGGGAAGAAGGGGAGGTATGGAGATGCGGAGAAAAAAGTAAGGAAGAAGAAACGGGGTGCACAAAGAAGAAAGGAGAACGGTGAGAAGGAATATCTGAATCTGAAAAATTATAAGTTAGAAAAATAATAAATCCGGAAGTGTGCTTGTTACATAATTATGGAAAATATTTTCCGAAATACTAAATTTAATGTTCCGGAAAGAACTTTCCGGAATTATATAAGAAACACACTTCTGAAAAATGCTTTCCGGAATAATAATTTTACTATTCCGGAAAATACTTTTCGGAATGCTAAAATTAACGTTTTCATTAATATAATTGTATTTAGTTAGAAGGATATTTTAGGAATTTTATTTTAAAAAAAGAGATTGGAGGTGTATTTATAAAAGTTAGGAGGTGTATATATCATCACCCTAAAAATGAGGCTCATGATATATACACCTCTTTTATATACACCTCATTTTTTTTTAAGTAAACCTCCTTTTTAAAATTTTTTTTATAAAATATTATTATTTTAAAAAAAATTAATTTTACACTTTCAACTTTCAATTTGCTACTTTCTTCTTCTTATTCACACACCTTTTTTTTCTCTTTCAATTTTCACATGTTACCAAAATAGGTGGGGTGAAGGAAAAATAAGAAGGTGCATGTAAAAATTGAAAAAAAGAGGAAAGATGTGTGAAAAAAAATACTAAATTAAATATTGTAGATATAAAATTAAAAAATTAAAAACAAAAAATTAAGAATATTTTAAAATTTTAATTTTTTTTAAAGGAGGTATACTTATAGAAAAAAAGAGGTGTATATATCATGAAACTAAAAATGACGATGCCAAGCCCAAGATCCTTTTGTTCATAGGCCAGAGTGGATACCTTTGTCCTTCCACACTTAATAATTTAGGATTGTTTTTTTAAGTACATTAGGAATTTAGGATTTAAAGGTAGGGAAAAGTTATTTATTAATTTGAAAATTAATATTTTTCTTTTGTAGCGTTTGTTATACACTTATACGCGTACTTTATTTTTACTATAACCTTGACTATTAATTTATTAATCAATGATTATAAGGGTATTTTATTTAAAATACACTCTCACTTTAAAAAAATTAAATATGTATTAAGAATTTAATTTCAAAGAGAAAAATACGAGATAAAAGTTCCATTTTTGATAAATTCTATTATTTAATTTAATAAATTTTAATATAAAAAATTAAATAATGTACTGCCACTAATTTAATTTAATGTCTTAATTTTAAAATAAAAAAACAAATTTTTAACTTTAAATAAAAATATTTTCTTAATTTTTTATTCTGAAATTTATCATAAAAAAAACACTAATAATCTAATACTAACCATAAAAAATAATTTATTTTACATATTTTCTTTATAAAAGACAATCCTGATCAAATTTAGTAAAATTAGTAAACAATAATAAATTTTCTTCAAATATATAAGTAATTGCATACTAATAACTTAAAATTTATACTACTAATTAAAAAAGGATAACCTCACAGTTGAATTACATAAACACAATAGTAAAAGTATGTTATATAATGCATTCATTTAGAAAATTATATAATTTACATATTTTTAAATCCATGTAAATTAGATTCACATTTGTTGACTGATGCAGAGGAATAGGTTTGGTTTCCATGGCACAAAAGCTGTCTCTCCCTCTCATCCTCCCAAAACCACAACCAACACCCCTTCTTCAAGACCTCTTTTTTAACCAAAACCCCTCTTCTCCACCCCACCGTCTTTCCCCTCACGCTCACCAAATTCTCCAAACCCTAATCCACCCTTCCTTCGATTCCAATCGCTTCAACGATATTTTCCCTCTCTTATTCCGCCAACCCCCTTCCTCTTCCCTCTCCCGTGACATTCTCGCCATAATCAAGGGTTTAGGCTTTAACAAAAAGCTCGACCTTGCTTTGTCCGTCTTCGACTTCATTCGAACCCGAAACGACCGCGTTTCGCTCTTGAACGGTTCCGTAATCGCTGCCATTGTCACCATTCTCGGTAAAACGGGTAGGGTTTCTCGCGCGGCTTCGTTGCTGCACAATCTAGAAACCGATGGAGTTGAGATAGATGTCTATGGCTACACCTCTCTCATCACTGCTTATGCTAATAATAAAAAATATAGAGAGGCACTGAAGGTGTTCGTCAAAATGAAAGAAGTGGGGTGTGAACCCACCTTGATTACTTACAATGCTATTTTGAATGTTTATGGGAAGATGGGCATGCCCTGGACTAAGATCATTGCTCTTGTTCAGGATATGAAGTGCCATGGCCTTGCCCCTGATTTGTGCACTTATAACACCCTTATAAGCTGTTGTAGGGCTGGTTCTTTGTATGAAGAAGCTCTTGACCTTTTTGAGGAGATCAAGTTGGCGGGATTTACGCCGGACGTGGTTACGTATAATGTGCTATTGGATGTTTATGGTAAGTCCAGGCGACCTAAGGAAGCCATGGAGGTTCTGAAACAGATGGAGAGGAATAACTTTCGGCCCAGTGTTGTTACTTACAACTCGTTGGTGTCGGCTTATGTTAGAGGTGGTTTGTTGGAGGATGCTTTGGAGCTTAAAATGCAAATGGTGGAGAAAGGGATTAAGCCTGATGTTTACACCTACACCACCCTTTTGTCAGGGTTTGTGAATGCTGGGAAAGATGAGTTTGCGGTGGCAGTTTTTGAGGAAATGAGAGCGGCGGGGTGCAAGCCTAATATATGCACCTTCAATGCGCTTATTAAGATGTATGGTGACCGAGGAAAGTTTAAGGAAATGGAGAGAGTTTTCAAGGAGATCAAGGTGTGCAAGTGTTCCCCTGATATTATTACTTGGAATACACTTTTGGCAGTGTTTGGACAAAATGGAATGGACTCTGAAGTGTCGGGGGTATTTGAAAAAATGAAGAGAGTTGGGTTTGTGCCCGAGAGGGACACGTTCAACACTCTGATAAGCGCATATGGCAGGTGTGGATCATTTGACCAAGCTATGGCTGCTTATAAGAGAATGCTGGAAGCTGGAGTGAGTCCTGATCTTTCTACTTACAATGCTGTTTTGGCGACATTGGCTCGAGGAGGGCTTTGGGAACAATCTGAGCAAGTCCTTGCTGAAATGAAAGATGGCGGATGTAAACCTAATGAGGTAACATACTCTTCTTTGCTCCATGCTTATGCCAATGGCAGAGAGGTTGAAAGGATGAATGCTCTTGCAGAAGAAATATACTCTGGCACAATTAAAACACATGCAGTTCTCTTGAAAACACTTGTTCTAGTAAATAGCAAAGTTGATCTCCTAGTAGAAACTGAACGCGCATTTTTGGAGTTTAGGAAGAGAGGAATCTCGCTGGATATCACTACTTTGAATGCAATGCTTTCGATTTATGGGAGGAAGAAGATGGTATCCAAGGTCAACCAGATTTTAAACTTTATGTATGAGAGTGGATCGACTCTGAGTTTGACTACTTATAATAGTTTGATGTATATGTACAGCCGCACTGAAAATTTCCAGAAACCAGAGCAAATCTTGAGGGAAATTCAGGACAAAGGTATTGAGCCAGATGTAATCTCATACAATATAGTTATTTATGCATATTGCAGAAATGGCATGATGGAGGAGGCTAAAAGGATATTAAAAGAAATGAAAGATCCTGCACCTGTTCCGGATGTTGTAACTTACAATACATTTGTAGCAACTTACGCATCTGACTCAATGTTTGTGGAGGCTGTTAATGTAGTTCGGAACATGATCAAGCAAGGGTGTAAGCCAAACCAGAAGACTTACAACTCCATAGTTGATTGGTACTGTAAGCTCAAATTGCGAGACGAGGCATGTAATTTTGTCCAAAACCTTGGCAACCTTGATCCACATGTTTCCGAGGAGGAAAAGAGCAGGTTACTAGAGCGCATGGCAAAGAAGAAATGAGTATGCTTAGGTTATTAGTGCCACTAGTTGATCCATAATTTTCTGGAGCCTTTATTGGAAAGTTTCTTGGGTCTCTCTGGTTAGATATTCTTAGGTCCTATTTTGGATAAATTTTTCAATGAATACTTGTATGGGAAGAAAATTAAAAGCAAAATAAATCAAGTTTCTTTTATAAGTTAAAATCAACATATGCATTTCAATTTTTGAATAAGTTAGACAAAATATTTTCTATAAAATTAAGAGTGCATAAATTGAATTTAACATATAAAAAAATGATTCGTTTTATCATTTTATTTTTTCTATAAATATTTATTGAAAATTTTATCTAAATGAAAGTACCATGTTTGCTACTTTGCTGGCCGATGCACTGCTGCTTAAAATTACACTAGTGGTGGGAAGTTGCAAAGAGAGGGAGGGGCTTCAATTCTTGAAGGTCAATAAATTGTAGTGTACAATTATAGCGATGAAACGAAGAGAAAATAAAAATGAAAAAAATGCACCGTGTGTATAGTGATGGCTCTTGTTTTCTAGGAGTCAGATAGTCCATTTTATAAGAGATCCGTTACATCTGTAAAAAGAGAGAGAGAGATCCGTTACAGTTTTTTATTTAATTCAGAAGTTTCATTCTAGCTTCAAGCCTAAATACGCCAAAATTATGGTCTAAGAAAGTGGTGTAGCAAATGTTGATAAGTACTAAATTTCAATTTAATAGCTACACGAGAAACTGAGAAAGGCGACTTGAAAACGAGAAGCTTGGAAAAACGAAAGTCATTGATGTCAGACCCACATTGACTTCGGGACCCAAGATCACGGTTGACTTGGTTTTCGCAACTATTCCCAAATTTCAAGTAACCAAAATTATTAGTCATTCCATAGTCCATACCATATCACAAAAGCAAAATAAGTAAAAAGGAAAACCCGTAAGTGAAAGCTTCTTTCTCACATTAATTACTAGAGAAGTATCGTACGCATCTATATGAAATGAAAATAATTGATGTGAATATATAATTTAATTTATTTACATTATTATATTTTTTATTTTATCTAAATAATAGAAATGTGAATTCATTTTTTTTGTATTAAAAAAATTTGTTTCAAATTAATAAAAATCACTTCTATGATAAAACATGGAATAAGACCCTTCTGTTCTGTGTGAAGCAAAACATACCACTTTTCTTTCGGTGAGATTTCATAACATATGGTGGAATACTAAAGTGGGTTAATTATATTGCAACATATTATATGTTTTGGTTTAACTTATCTTAAATGAATATTTATTATTTTATTAACTGAAAGCTTAATTGTTGTTGTTGTGAGAGTTGAAAAATATAAATTTGAGCAATCAAATCATATTTAAATGACTAAGTCTAGAAAATTAAAGTGCACGCATTTTAAATGATTACGTGACCATTACTAACTTCTAATCTTGATTGTCTATCTAGATTTCTAAAATGATCTAAATTTATTATTTTCATTATTCAAAGTTAACTAACTTCAAGTTATTTTTATCAACAGAAAAACTAATGAAGAAAAGAATTTTCTTCTTCAGAACAGTCATAATTAAACACGAGCGTTTTAGTTTGATAAGAAATACTATACAAATTTGCCAAATATACCCAGGCATCTTTGAGTTTCCAGATTTGTACAGTTGTGCCTATTCCATTTCTTTTTGCTTACTAGTTTCGATATATGCTTTGTTTAGTTAATTCAATTCATCGTTGGGGACACCATCCATAGGGCTCCTTCAAATTCTATTTTTTTTCATAGTTATTCCAATTTGGTGTCAATCGTGCTTATCAATTCCTGTTCATTTCTATCATAAGGCCAACAAAAATGCCAACTCAACGTTCTATAGAATATTAACAAATTGACAATTACCATAAAGTATTTTGCTAATTAACGAGTTCAAAAGGTTGGCTATTTCTCGAACGTGTGAACATTCATTTCAAAACTCAGAAAATGATAAGTCAAATATCCCAATAAAAAACAACGCGTCTGATGACTAAAATGCAGTATGGCTAAACCAACATTTGTAAAGCACTTGCATTTCATGGTTGTAATCAATACACGTACCATGGCAACACGATAGTGCTTGTGAAAAATATCCACTCACCCTGCAATTCTTGTTAGTTGGTGAAATATCATCACCAACGCTTACCTCATACGCATTCTTCGTCGTGACGAACATCACCGTGAGATAAATATCATGACTAACCAATCAATATAAATTTTATTCACTCTTCCCCCAAAGAAAAACAAAATTGATATCACCAAACCCAAAAATAGAGACTTCACAACTATACACATGCATATCTGCACCAGAAAGAATCTGTCAGCAACTCCCCGCTACTATATCTATGCAGTAATTTGTATGATTTCTCGAGAATTCCCTTCATTTACCAACAATATTAATCTTCACCTATAAATAATTTTCGCCCCAAATAATGTCAGTGTGTGATCCTTTGAAGCAATCTCACTCTTTAGGCAACTGTACCAAGCATACTCTTTTCTGCCTCATCCGCATTTAGGGAAAAAATATCAACAGGGGCAGTTGTGTAGCCAACAGTGGTTTGCTTCACTCTGCCATTAGAGGAGCCCGCATGGTGATCAAGATAGATTACAATTACAGTGATATCATCATGGAAGTGTCGTCTTATTCCTTTGTCAATTTTCTTTATGTCATCATATCTCATCTCTCTCTTCTTTGCAGCTTCTTGAAGTGCAGCTCTCACTAGTCTCTTGGCAATTCCCTGCACATACCAGAAACACAAATCAAAATCATTGTAAGAACCCACAAAGTTGATCATTATATGCAGCTCCGGAGTAACAGAAGGTACTCACAGCTCTTGGATATTTGAAAACTATCTGAACAGCTGCCTCATCACTTAATTGTTCCCAGAGGCCATCGGATGCAAATATCAAGAATAAATCCTCTGACTCGAGCTCCCTAATAATTATTGATGGTTCAGCTGTCATTGCAGGACGCTTCAAAGGAACAGGATTCCCATATTGCTGAAAGACTGGGTCTCGGTAGAAATCAGGTTTCTTCAAATATACATCACCAATAGATCTTGACACCTGCAAAACACGAAAGCTGTCAAGATTAGCTATCCTAATCCCATGTTTCTGAAGTGAAATAAACTGGGTGTAACGTCTCTGAACCTTTCTCTTTCAAGGAAGCAAACACATGAAATGAAAAGCAGAAAATCACAGGTTAGAGCATCCAAATCCTTAGTTCTAATCAGTAATCAATAATAGGAAACCTCAAATTCTATGTCATCATTGTGTAGAAGGCTGGAAATACATCAAGTTCATAATAACCATGGAAGTAGGTAAAGAAAAGTTGGAAGAAAAAACAAAAAAAAAATAGATGAACTATTGAACTGGTTTTACTAACTGTAAATAACAGAATTAACACCTGAAGAAATTATGCTACAACCAGACACAATTAGGAACGGCAATCATGGATAACACCACGGATATATAAACAATGTATTTATCTATATTCAACATGAAGTTCAAAATGAAGCACATATTTGATAAGAAGAGAATGATAAATGGTATACAAAATATCAGTTTATTATACCTGTATAATGCCCTTAATCCTCCAAACCCCACGGCTGTAAACCACAATGTGCGAGTCATCAGGATGGAGAGCTTCAACTTCTCTTCTCACCTTCTCATCAGCTACATTATGGTCAGTTGACAAGCGCTGTGCCACCACCGGACTGTTCCTTCTCTCTGTATCCCTCCTGCCAAGAACTGCTCTCGAGTCTCCAAGGTTGGCAACATACAACACATTATTAGAAATTGCACCAAAAAGGCAACAGGATCCCACGGAAGCAATCTGAGGACTAATGGGCAATGATAGCTTGACCAAATGCAAGAATTCCTCCTCCGTGGCACTAAATGCCTTCTTTATCACATCCACAGACAACCCCCCTTGCTCAGTGGCAAATTCTACAAATCAAAAACAACAAACAAGTGGGCAAGGTGCAATTTCCTTCCAATTCTTCGTTCACAAATTTAGTACAAATTAACATGGCTTATGTAAATTTGGGTAAAGACTAAAAGAATGGAAATGAGGATGGAAAGGGACAGGTATAGATAGCAATTGTACAATCCATTGCAATTCACAGATGCCTCTTTCGAATAATTCTTCTTCGTACTAATGAGTATCATCCATACAACAAACGAGGGAACAAAACCATGTGCTTCCATTTGAGGAAGTATAACTGGTGAGAGACAACAACAGTTGGCATATCACTTTTTATGTATCACAAAACATAGAAGAAAAAGAAAAAGAAAAATCCGAATATCAATATCATAATCCATATCTTTCAGAAATATTCTTCGTACTTAGGGGGCCTAGCTCAGTTGTTTGAGCTGAGTAGACATGAGTTGTTGTAAACTACTGAGTACCGAATTCGATTCCCATTGATCAAAGAAATAAAGAAAGTGTTTAAAAAAAAATCTTATAGCAAAGAACATAAAAAAAATAAAATTATGGATAACAATATGAATATGATATCATCCCCAAATATTGATCATAAAGAAAGCATTAAATTAAAAAAATGGAAAAGTGAAGAGTGATTGAATATTTGAATTGAAAGAAAGGAGTGAGCGTGGAAGCGGAAATGGATCTGAAAAGGTTGTGTAGAGGAAGGGGGATTAATTGATTACTGTGTAAATAAGGGAAGAGGCGCTTGTTGACGAATCTAGAAGCTTCGGGGCCGCCGTGGCCGTCGTAGACGCCGACGTAAGTGGCGGAGGGAGAGGTGAAGACTTGGCTCTGATCCTCGAGAGTGTAATTGGCCTGAGCGACGGCGATGGAGAAGTCGCCGGAGGCGTGGGGCTTGAGGTCGTTGTGCCAGAGAAGGGCGTCGACGCGGCCACCACGGCGGTGGAAGCAGCAATCGAGAGGAGCGTAACACAAACGCAGCATGATCCGTGTGAGAGCGAGTGCGCGCGTGATCCCAATTTATTTAGGTTAGGTTTGGTGTATTCAGATTTGAGAGGAATGAGAGAGAGAGAAGAAAGCGCGTTTGTAGAATGAGAGAAAGATATGATATTGTTGAATTTGAATGTTGATGCTTCAGTTGACGCGTATATCAATATCACTCTCACTCTCCCCTTTTCTTCCACTCTTCTTTCTCTTTTCTTCTCTATCAAACCAATTTACCACCTTACACTTAACACTTACCTTACTCTTTTCACTTTTCACATTCTCTCTATTTACACTTAACACTTACCTTGTTATAAGCGTGGATCAACTCCTACCACTGAACTGACTATTTACTAACAATATAATCATTTTTAATATTTTACTAATATTTTTAAATACTTCTTACTAATTCCTTATATACATCATGATTTCTAATTCCTTAATAATGTTTAATTTTGGATCACTATTTACTTTTTTATTTATTATCTGACTGTTTAATTATATTCAAATATCTATTACTTATTTAGTTATAGCTTTACCAGTTTACTTAAAATACACTAATATTTATTTTTTAAATATACTATAAAATAACGTTTTAAATATTCTTTTGATCATATTATTCAATATTAAGATTTGAAAGAAAAACTAAACTAAACTTTTATTATATGCTTGAAAGTTTCAAATTATTAGCTAAGTGTGTGATAACAGTTAACATGACGTGCATACACATAATCTATGAACGTTATTAAAGCCTTACAAATTAAAATCTGACCTGTTTTAATCTATTCTTATCCGTACCAACACATATACATGGCGTGCATGACAAAGTATTCCTTAAAATAAAATAAAAATCAAAACACACACACAGATTAATACTTTTCTGCGGGCTGTATCATTGACTTTCTTTTGCCTAAACACAAACACAAGGGACATTATATTTAAATTTTTCTTAACAATTGATTTAAATTTAAATTCAAATTCAATTTGTAATACTTTTGTTTATAACATCATCTCAGTTTCTTTAATTTCTGATTCCTCCTTCTTCTTCTTCTCCTTTATTTGTTTTCACTTTATTTTGTAAGTAAAAATACAATAATAGTATAATATCATGGGAAAATAATTCATAGATTTGTGTTTTCATGACACGTCCTTTCCTTTGCTGCGGTTTTTATACTTTCAAACAAACCTTGATGACTAAGGTTGTTATTAAGAACTTGTACACTCCATTTTTTTAGTTATATTATTATTATCAATTATGTAGTGTTTGTTTTATTTTTATCACACCATTTATCTTATTTAAAAAAAAATATCTAATTTTAATATCTCTCTCTAGTTGTAAAAAAAAACGGTGTTTACTTTTATTACATAAAAACTTCCATGTTATTTAGAGCTATATATTAATTTGAGATAGTTTGAAATATTGAAGCTAACACATCACGTTAGGTGAAAATTTGATATTTCTAGATTTTGAATTAAAGAATAATATAAGAGGAGAGAATGCAAAGGCAAAATAATGTTTGTTTGTAAATTGTAGTGCAGCATTGGAATGTTTGTGGTGTATAGAAGACGGTTGGGTTGACTCTTGAGTTGAGGTGAGGTTGTGTTCTTGTCTTGGTCTAAACGCGTACGAACTTGCGTTGCTTGGAAAGACAACAACGCGTTCCATCAATTTAATGCTCCTTTCTCCCCATACAACACCTCTCCTTCATGCTACTTATTATACAACCGTTGAAAACTTTATGAGGTGGGAGAACAAGTGTTTATTTATTAAATTCTCTTTTCTTTCATAGTCTTTAATAAGAGCAAGAAATTAAAAAAATAATTAATATTTTATAAAAAGATCTACTTATTCTAATCATCACTTGTTAGACACAAATTAGAGTGGAGGAGAGAGAAAAACACATAATTTTACAAAATGTTATTGTATATTCATGCTTAGAGATAATGGATTAGAAGAGAATTGTGTAGAATTTCGGTAGAAACCACTGACAAAAAAATTCTATACAAAGATAATCAAATTTATTTATAATTTATTGGTTAAAAAAATCATATTTACTCACTGTTGTGTTATATATACTAAACATATTTAACTATGCTTATACATAATTAAATATGACTATAAAAAAAAATTTAAAAAGTAACGAGATAAACAAAATATCAATAAGGGGGAGAACAATAATTATTTAAAACGGAAGTGGTATGTTGTAGTTTCTTCCACCAAGCACCAACCAATGATATCTTTTTGTAGGGTATGTATGGAATTATCAATAGTTGCCATACAATGATGATTGTTCCTGTTGCAAGCCAAGTTAGGAAGGACATAAACTAACAAGCAAGTGGGGTTTCATATTGTTTTTACTTATGTTTGGGAGATAAGGACAATAGCAAAAGACCTAAACTTCAATGAGTTTTCCCACAACACACGTCCTATTCCTTGGTATGACACCCAACTATTGTCTTCTAGTTGTTGGCCTTATTGATATTTGGATTTGTATGATTTTTTTTAAATATCAACAAAGTATGATATACTTGATAAATAATTTTATTTTTTAAACATGTAATCCACGTTTATATTCAATTATTAATTTGTGCATATAAAAAAATTTAATAGAAGAGGTTAATTTCTTAAATAAATCTTATTTTAAGAGACTAGTCACTAATTTTTTATTAGAAACTACATTACTTGATTTACTAAAATAAACATAGATTTTTAGTCTTTATATAAAATTTATTTTCTATCTATTCTCACATAAAACAAGTTTGTAAACAATTATTCTAATGAAAAATCTTTTAAAATAATTTTTTATCATTATTTCATGTTATAACACGGTTAAAATAAGTTTAATTTGTTTAAAAATAATTATTTATAACGAGAAGTCAACGTATTATTCTTGAAATACGAGCAATTATGTGAACTTAATGTATAAAAAAATATAATTATGTAAATCATCCAATTATGTGAACTTAATGTATAAAAATATAATTATATAAATTTAATATATAAAAAATACGAATTTTAGACGGTCAAAGTAAATAATATATATCTGATTTATTATTTTATATTAGGGTTTAGGATTTATCAATTCAGTTTTTTTTTTAATTTAAAATAAACTAATCAAAAATTTAATCTTCTTTTGTTTTTCTTCTATTTTCATTATATCGATGAATCTCAACTTTTTCTTTATTTATTTTTTATTTATTCTCCATTTTTTTCCTTCACCAACTTCTTTCAATTTTGTCTTCTTTGTCTAACATAATGCAAATAATTAAATGTTGGTACATATTTACATGAGAGTGAAACAAAATTATAATTACTTTTAAATGTCACATTGCATAACTCATGTTGCATCATAAAATGAGAACGAATATATGAGGTGAGGAAAAAAAACCATTGTGTATAACATGATAAAATAAAATTTTGTAAATGCAAATTAGTCATTGATTATGTTTATTTTAAAATATTGAGCGAATTATGTTTATAGATAAAAAAAATATTATAATTATTTATAAATTTAAATTAATGAAATTAAATATTATATAATTTTTATTTTATTTTTATAAATTTGTAAGCTTAATTTATATATTAAAAATTTTAAATTTAATGATTTAATTATTAAAAATTGATATATAAACGATGAAAAATTAGTGGGGATAATTGTCCCCACTCTTTCATATGACAATATACAAATAATTTGTGATTAAGCTATGTTGTAATGAAGGTATATAAATATGCTCCTTCAATTTGAAAAATTACTTATAAATATCATAATTTATTTTATATTTTGATTACCAAATATTATTGATTTAAACTCACTACTCTTGTAATTTAAACATTTACGACTTAATCTTTATATGTATTATAGTAATAGTTATTTTTTATTTTTAAATAAATTTTCCTACTAACATAGGGTTCTAGATTTATCACCACTATTTTCTCTCTACTTCTACATCATATCATTAACTATATATGTGATACTTTATTTTTTTCAGGCAAATTTGTGATACAAATAACATTTCTCATTTTAAAATAGAAACTTTATACTGCGTATACTTTCTCTTCAAATTTACTAACCACCACTACTAGTCCAGTCCATTGTGGGAGCAAGTATTATAAGGTACATATTGGGCCTTGACTCATGTATATTTGTAAAATCTGCATTGTAGATGAGTGATATTCCCCCGTTTTCTTTAATCTGTGGAGACATTCCCCTACTTTACGTAAGAAGTTGATTTTTTTTAAAAGTTAAAAATATAAATAACTAAGAGACGTAAACATCTATAATTAATGGTGGTTTCTAAAACCAGTTGAAAGATAAACCTATTTTAAAAAAATGTCTATAATAAATGAGTATTTTCTTTATTATTTACTATTACATTTATTTTTGGTGTTCAGTTAAGTAAAGCATTACTTTGAATTGAAAGAGAGAAACACTAATTTATATTCATGAGACATATTTTTACTAATAAAATATTATTTTAATTTTTTTGGTCTATAGTTATATCCTTATTGGTTTAATTTTTTGTGTATAAAGTTTTCTCCATTTTATTCTTTAACTCGTGCATTAGAGAAAGGAAATTGAAATATAAATGAAAGATAAAAATGTCCGAAAAAAGCGGAAATTAAAAAAAATATATTGCTATAGATATAATAATTATTTACATAAATATAAAGACTCATAAATTTATAAAAAACCACAAATTCTTTTATTTTTTGTCAAACAAACATATTACAATAGAACAAAATCAAATTAACTAAAATGTAATAAATGAATATTGATACAAATGAATGCTTTAATTTTCCAGGTAAGAATGCAGATATTAAAATTACTATTCACGAAGTATAAGAACATTAAAACACGTATTACAATACCCTATTCATCTATCCATAATTCCATATCTTACCCATTGATTGTGATCGGGAGGTGAAATTGAAAAAAGAATAAATAAAAAAAACTAGATAATTTCAATACAAAACACAACATCGTTACAAAAGCCAGCTGCATTACAGCATTCTTGTCCTGTGGTACAACCACGGAATGAAACAAAAAATCTAGAAAGCAGCTTCCCCTCCTCGTTGTGGTTAGTTAGTATTTACAACTATACATCTTCGACAGTATGGACAGTCACCACAGCAGCGAACCCAAGGATCCAAACAAACAGAGTGGAATTTATGTTCACATGGCAAACGTATCAGCTCATCTCCATCTGTGAAAGATTCCAGGCATATACCACAATCTTGCAGTACCCTGGACTCCGATCCTATCTCGCTGCTGCTAAAAACTTCCTGATGCAAACAGTCCAAGGCCTCCTGAGAAAGTCCAGGAGGCTTTTTGTTCAGTTCTTGCAAGAACTGGGACCTTCCCATTTGTGAAGTCAAGTCAGTAACTAGAGAGGCCTCAGTTGGAACTTCATTTGATGATTCACTTGCTCCATCCTCACCCACTGAATCTCTACCATATTGCCTAGGGAAACGAAACAAAACAAACTAGAACTTCAACTTAAATAAATCAAAGGGCAATGGCATGTCTTTTAACAATAATCATACCTTGAAAGAACACTAAAAATCTGATTACTAACTGCAACTAGAGCAGCATCTACTTGAGAAGACAAGTTCTATATGGAACAAGAACAAGTATGTGCTATATGAAAAACTCAACAAAATAAGTACTACAAAATCCTCCAACAATTAACAATACATAATCTTAACTTGCAGAGAAACTCATTTAATTTTTTTCTTCTCCTAGAAGGGCTTATATATGAAGAAGTTTATCCAAAAACACAGTGAAGTAACTAGATCATCAAAGAATTATGACATTCACACTGTAGGCATAAAACTGGTGTGAAAAAGTCACGAATTAATATTAGATAATCAGATAATTTATTTTAAAGACATAGGCATCTCAAAGCAGAATTTACAGTGATCTTAATGAAACAGAAATGAAATTAACAGAGGTAGGAGTACAAGTTAAAAGGCAATTAAATATTGGTCGATATCGCACACATTACTAAGAAAATGAAAAAGGTTTAAACGCTGATGAATAAGCAAATTAACCTGTTTGTAGATAAAGGTTCCCCTCTCAACCTCTGAAGGAGTCTTGCCCGCGCAAGAACCACACCTACGGGTAGTCTCTCAGTGGCAGTCCCTCCAAGACCACCTCTTACATTTTCAGCAGAATCAACGCTTTCACTCAAGAAAGAGCGGCGATACCTCACATCAATTCTGTCAGACGCACGCTCCTAGCAACCACAAAATTCGGTTCATCAATACTAGGCAATAGGCATCCATTTTCCGCTCGTAATAAATACTAGGCATAGGAATCCTCAGAAATTTCAATTGTAAGAAGAGATTGCGTACCGGATGGTGACGGAGGCGGCGGACGCTGTAGTGGCGGCGGAGGGAATCGGCGGCGTGGAGTTCTGAGTCGAACCCTAGATCGAGAGCATTTCGTCCCAATCGATGCCTTCTGGTGTGGAATAGCTCCGAAGCGCTCGTCATACACTGAATCCGTGCTCCTCTCTGCGCTGAAGAGATTGAGAATAGAGAGAGAGATAAAGAAAAAGAGGTTAATGGAAACTGGCAAGTTCGATGAAGAAGCCCAACAGTGTCTGCGATTCTTCCGTGATCCAATCACTTTTTTTTTTCTTACCAGAAAGTTCGAAGAAGCTATGACAAATTACATAGCCGATTAAATCAAAGAAAGAAAAAGATATTTTTACTTGTAATGCTCTGTGTAAATCGTGAATCTGTGATGTGACTTGTCATATACAAATAAACAAATGGTTTGAATTTAATAATATTCACACACATATATTCACATAACTCTGGCTGAAATTTTTTAACTTCATATGCAAATACACAATTGTACTAAATGTAACAATGTTTTCTTATTATATTACTCACAGAATTTATATTTCTTAAAAAATCAATATGTTCATTTCATGGTGATCGTTGATTCGCTAATGAAATGAGAATTTCATATTCATTTTTCAAGAATAATATATTTTTATTTGAAAAATTCAACTTATAGTTTTATTTGAACGTATGTCGAATTCAGAAAAAGATCTTTCATTTATATATTTAACCACAGATATTTACAAATACTTTTGTTGCGTGAAAACAAATACAATATTTTTTTTTCAATTTTCAAATTTTTTTAAATAATAAATTCAATAATCTGAATATATTAGTTCAATTTGTATTTCAGAAAAAAAAAAAAGTTAGAGAAATATAATGAAAACCAATCTGATTGAATATATTTGGATCAAAAAAAAAAAAAAAAAAACAAATAAAAACTCATCCCTAAAATTGATATCCAATCCACCCAACACTCAGAAACTCATCTTTAGTGTAATGGATTTAAGATATGCCTGGTTCGCCCTATCATGAGCCTTGCTCATATTAATCTTAAGTGCCACATCTCTCATTTTCTTCTTTTTGTCTTACACTTCAAATGATGTATGATTTCAATTGTGACTAACACATTATCAGTGATGGATTGGTTTGCAACAAAAGTTGATTGCTCCTCCGCAATGTACTTGAGTGAAAAAGGATTCGGACTATTTGCTAGGACTTTTTATAGAATTTTGTAAGCCACAATGCAAAGGGAGGATTATCTCATTTTATAAATGGAAACTACACAATAAACTTCTCTTTCATGATTTCTATGAGAATGCAAATGATAAATATTCTAGTTAATTTCTATCCCATATCTCTCGTTTTGTTTTTTCTTCCTCTTTCATCCCTAATACATTCATTGAAGATAAAGACAGTGTAAAGGATCCAATTCCAATGATGGTCACCCTTAGACCCCAGGATAAGATTCTAGCTTTTGCAATATCATATTTTCTATGCAATCCAATAAATCTTTCTCCCTATTTCAGTCAAAAGCGGAGAAATTCTTCCATACCCCTGCATGTCGAGAAAAATTGCCTGACATGACTTAATATTTTCGATCGAATATCATATAATGTCGCTAGCAACACAAATAATTATTTGTATTCCTCTTCCACTAAGCCAATCCTGTGTGGCTAACAACACAGAGTATGGTGGACTGAATATGTCACAAAATACTCGAAAAGATATTTTCTGTTTAAGTGAAAAATATTATTACTATGTAGGGAATATAAACAGTGTGTCATACAAATGTTTGTTTCTGTTTTATTTTATTATTATAAATCGTTTTTAAACATCCTTTTTATTTTTCGTTTATTAGTTATGTCATAATATAATTTCATATTTTAATTTTAATTGTATTTTTTTTAAAAGGTTGTAACATTTTTTTTATATTTTTTAATGACGTAATCCCTCTTTTCCTATTTCATTAAAAAAAAAAAAGAACTATTACACTGTGTTTGAGAGCACTAATTTAAAGTGGAATCGAAGTGATCGAAGAGTGATAATTTGCAAAGGATTGCAAAACAATTTGAAGACAATAATTTGTAAGAATTTTAGAATAAATAAAAATGGATCCTACAAAAAATAAATTCCTACTTAAATAAGGAGATTTGTGTAGATTTCTAAACATGACAAAAAAAATTGTTCGTTCATCTTATTTTTTCACCTTATTTATAAAAGTACTTAACATAGTCCATTATGTAACGTTTACAATGATATATAATATATCGATTCCAACAATTAAGTATGTGTATACATAATTGATTGTTGGATTAGCATTTTCTGTTGTGAAAGAGAAAGAAAATGAATATAAAATAAAAATAAATAAAAAGTTGATGGCATTAATCATGCTTAAACTGTGTGAAACACCACACAGTAGAGACAAGAATACTTTGAATCATCGGCCATAGGTTGCACTTGCCATGGCATCATTCACGCTGTTTACTTCATGTTCATGTCATTGCCATTATAAATTAGGGAGAAAGGCACTTCATGCCTTTATAAAAAAAAATAGAGAAAATAATTTTTTTTATAATTGTTTTAATATTCGTGATTGTTTTTGACAATTTTTTCAATAATTATTAAAGATAAAATAAATAAAAAATATTATAAAAATTAAATAAGACAACTCTCTTTATTATATTAGTATATATAACAAAGCTAATACTCTAATAGATTTATTTATAATACAGGTTACAATCTTTATAAAAAGTGTTCGTTTCAGAATTAATAAATTGTATATTTTTATTTTTAAAAACTATATTTTAAATATATTTTATATTTTAATATAATAAATATGAAGAAATTAAATTAATCTGAAAATAACTTTTATTATCTATTTTCTCAAAATTGGGGCCTCATTCTAGAAATGAATTGCTAGCAACAGAGTTCATCCATAGCTATAAGTTCTCTTCTTACAATTGATAGAGTAAGAACTTTATTTTTAAGGATGTAGATTTTTTATTTATTTTTATTTTCTTTCTTTCTTGTTTTCTGACGTTGTATTAAAAAAAATACTTGTAAGAATAATTAAATTATGAAAATAATAAAGACGAGAATAAAATTTTCTTCCTAATAAATATTTATTATTTCTTAATTTTAATTCTTGATCGATATATTTTTAGGATAATGATTAACGCACATAAAGTAGGCACCAGGTTTATTTAGTCTATTTTATAATTAAAATATTTATTTCAGATTATAAATTTCTATCTAATTTAATTTTTATTTATAATAATTATATATGAATTAAATATTAATATTTTAAAACAAGTTATCAATAAATAAAAATAATTTTTTTGTTATAATATAAATTATTTATCATAAATCTCAAATATAATTTATATATTTAAAAATATTTATATATACTAATTTTAAATA